TCTCATTCATTCATCAGCCTCACTTGTTTCCTGAAACATCATATTATTCAATTGACGTTTGTATTAAATCTTTCATATGAGGAATATAAAATATAGAGTCAATCAATCTTGCCTTTAGTAGATCCTAGGACGCGGTAAATGTCAGTTCAATTGGTGCTTGATACACAAAGAAGTAGGGTTCAATCGCTTCGCCTCATTCACACGATACCAGGCTGACGCGAGCAAGGAACTGTTCCTAGTGTTAATATTCACAGATATTCATGTGAAAGCTCAAATGTAAATGTTTTTTCCACATACAACAGCATTATCTTGTAGGTAAATACACCGGTGAACATCACAGCAGCAAACTCTCTCAGCTTAATTTGCTTCACATTGAAATACACGCGTGACAGAGATGGCATAATACGGGTACACACTGTATTCACTCAGTATATAGGTTCTAATGGAAGATTACGGACCATATTTGTATTCATCTAGCGTGTTTGAATATACATATTTAGTCAGTAACCAATTGGCAGATCGGTACCAAATAAAAACAAAAATAGTGTAAAACTGCCGTTGAAAACATAATTTATGAATTCAGCTTTAACAAAATACAAACTAATAGGATGCAAGCTTTCGATTTTATACAGAAATCCTCTCCTTCAATGTAAACGGGTTGAGCTACTTATATATGAGTGAATTACATAGCCATTGTACCGTTCATGAAAAAAAATTAAAAATAAAAACTTTTGAGTCGTACGTTTCGTTTCGTAGAGCAATTTCGACTGTATCTAAAAATATAATTTTCCCTACACTTTACCAAAAATATTGACGGATTTTTTAAAATTTGACTGAACCCAAAACTCCCCCTAGGGTAGGCAAATGAATTCATCATTTTTCAGCAAATGATCTATACTGTCATACACCGTTCGATAGAACATATGCGGCACCCATTTTGCACATGCGTAGGTATTTACGCTGATTTATTCGCACTAAAATGGTAAAAAATTATTGTTTTTTCCTAAGAATGATTGACAGAAAGCAGAAAACTATAATTCTAGAGTAGAATTATGGGGACTAAGATCGTTTCCTTATTTGTACTGCTCAATAATCGAATATTAAATTTTGGGTTACCGTATGTACAGCTATTATTATAGTTTTCTTAACAACAAACCAGTTGGGATATTTTTCAAGCTTTAACTAACCGTAGAATATGCAAAATAAATAAAGAATAACGTATAGCTCCCACAATTTTTTTGTAATTTCAAGCGAATAGCCCGCTTTCAGCGGAGCGTATGATGTATGGAGGGCTGGGAGATGGCACAAAGTTTGTCCCGAGAGGTTCTTAGCCTACATCCGAGCCTACACAATTATTTCAATTTAATAGTCTTATCATACTTTAAAATACAATAAGTCAGTTCAACAGATTCAAAGAATCATATAAACTTTTTATTTGAGAAACGCCGTATTCAGACGACACATTGTGATAAATTTCACTTGTCGGTTTTTTGCATTCTCTTATTTCCTGTATTTTTCAAAAAATTCATTGATTTTCGTGTTTTCGAAGAGAAAAAAATCCTCTTCTGTTTCCTGTTTTTTGAAAGTGGATAGTACGAACCCTGCTCTTGTATTCCCTTCACTCCTTTTACTCCTTTTGCTTTTTCATTCCCTTTACTTCTGTTGCTCCCTTTACTAGAAAAGCATCATAAAGTAGTAAAAGTAGTAACAGGAGTAAAAGTAGTAAAAGGAGTAAAAGGAGTAAAGGGAGTAACAGTACTGACTAAAAGTAGTAAAAGGACCAAAAGTAGTAACCGGAGTAAAATTAGTAAAAAACCAAAACGATTAACAGTAGTAAAACGCCAAAAGCACTAAACTGAATAATAAACTAAAAGACATAGTCACCTATCAATATAACGTGTTCATAGCTAAAAAGATCTCGGGACAAACTTTGTACCTTCTCCTATCTCTGGATGTATGATGAGTTTGAATTCGAAGTTATAGTTATAGTTATAGTTCGAAAAATAGACAAAATAATCTTGATAAATATTTTCGATGTAAAATGAGATTTTCTCTGTATCAAGGCAAGCTAGACGGTTGCCGTTTTTACTACATGATCTGGACAGAAAATGGAAAAACGGCTAAAGGGTTCGGATCTAACGGATAAACTGTTCCTGAGATATAGACCAAAGAATTTTCAAAATCTCGGCGGACATTTTGTACAAAAACCAGATTATTGAATATATATTTCATCCTGATTTTCGATTGGATAAAAAACTCTAATTTTCTTTTTTAGCCAAAATGTAGAGCTTTGTACACTCTATCTTCCTGTCTATTTTAAAACTTTTCAGGGTTCTTCATTGACATATGAACCTAGTTCTAATCTCGGAGTGTTTGTAACAGAGATGTCGGAAAATGCTTTTTTTTCAACCCATGGGTCACCCATAACCCTGGGTGACCCGACAAAAATTGCCTTCGAATCTGGGTGGGTGGGTCAGGGTTGAGATCGTTCAAATAGTCAATCCAACCCGCCAGGGCTGGGTTAAGGGTAACCAGTGGATGCTCCGACCCAGGGGTACCCATACCGTAACCCACCCATCCGACATCTCTGGTTTGTAAACAGAGTTTTTTGATAAAACCAGAGTCAAAGTATGATTTTATTTAAATTCAAAGTATCCCGAAAACCAACTTTACAGGCTACAAGAAACGCTAAAAAAAGCTTTTAGAACTAGTTTAAATAAATCAGAGAAAAAATTTGATTCTTTCTCCAGATGGTGCCAAAAACAAGTAGATATTTTGTGAAGTCCAAAAAAGAAATTGCGTTCGACTTACATGCCGTAAAAGAAAAGCGTCAGCTAAACGATTCTGTTTTCTTTCGGTTGTTCGAAAATAGATTTTCTACCATCAAAGTGCGGAAATAGAAATGATTTCATAATTTTAGAAAAGATTAGTAATAGTATTTCACTGATTCAGAAACTGGCTCATTTCAGAAACACCCGGCAACTAGCTTGATGATGTGTCATTGAGCAAACACTCTCAAAAACGGATACTTTCTTAATGACATCGAGATAAGGTGAAATAATCAACGTCCCAAAGTAACATCCCGAGTTGATAATTTTAAACTGCATAAAGCACGAGCAGTAAAAAAATACTCGTCTTTGGGATATTACATTTATTGAAGCTTTTTCCAAAAACGTATTGATTCAATGCAGAATTTAACGCTGATCACGGATATGTCCTTTAAAAAAATTTAGTTTCATTGAAAAGTTAAATTTTACTGACAGTAGGCACCATCGTGGATTTTTCGGTATTCGCCTTTAACATTGACAAAAACCCTTTCTTACATTTTAAAAACATTCTAGAACGTGCAGCAATGCTTGATCTTTAAGAATATGTAACTGAAACATTTTTTATGTTACGTTTAATGTGCGAAATGCGGATCCAAATTGCGAAAAATTTAGATTTTTTATCGTATTTTCTGTATTAATGTTAGAAAAAGAAAATACGTAGAATAGAGGAATTTACTTTAACACTAGGATTTGGAAGCGATTCTGTCCTCCTGTATGTACATGTACATGAATGTCGGAAGATCGAATTCCTTCTTTGTGAGACAGTCAATAATGAAAGGTTGTAGAGAGTCCGGGTTTCCACTGTTGTGCTTGGCATACTCTCTTGTCTATTTGCACCGCAGAATTTAACGCTGATCACGGATATGTCCTTTAAAAAAATTTAGTTTCATTGAAAAGTTAAATTTTACTGACAGTAGGCACCATCGTGGATTTTTCGGTATTCGCCTTTAACATTGACAAAAACCCTTTCTTACATTTTAAAAACATTCTAGAACGTGCAGCAATGCTTGATCTTTAAGAATATGTAACTGAAACATTTTTTATGTTACGTTTAATGTGCGAAATGCGGATCCAAATTGCGAAAAATTTAGATTTTTTATCGTATTTTCTGTATTAATGTTAGAAAAAGAAAATACGTAGAATAGAGGAATTTACTTTAACACTAGGATTTGGAAGCGATTCTGTCCTCCTGTATGTACATGTACATGAATGTCGGAAGATCGAATTCCTTCTTTGTGAGACAGTCAATAATGAAAGGTTGTAGAGAGTCCGGGTTTCCACTGTTGTGCTTGGCATACTCTCTTGTCTATTTGCACCAATTTTTCAGTCAAAATTTTTTTCCTATGATCTTTGATTGAAAAAATCGAAAAGTCTACAATTGCTTTGAAATTGTTCGTAGAGTTACACTTTTCTGCTTATATCTTCTTTGCTACGCATTCAACTGCATAAAATCATATACCATTCGAAGGAAAAAATTGTCCTAGATATGATGGACTGAGATGTCTGAAAGACCTAGCTTTTCAGTGTCACGGTATACCGAAACTCAACTTCAAACACACCATTAGAAAGAGCACGAAAAACTGCATCGGATTTCTCTCTTGATGACATAGAAAGAAGCTTGTATTACGGTTTTTCAGAGAGATATAGGTCGTTGTTGTAGTGATGGCTTCGTATTTTCTGACATATTTCTAATGAACCTGCTGACTGAAAATTTTCGGACCCACACTGGTTTATAAGGAATTAAAGTTTCTTTAAAATGAAATACTGCCTGCCATCTAATCTGGTTGCTCATAGGACGTTGAGACCAATCCGTCCGTCTGGTCATTTCATTCTCGCAGAGAAAAATATAAGAGCCGTTCACCGTTTTTTTTGGTCTCAATCTCCTATGAGCATTATTGATACTTCAAAAATTGTTCTAAACTAATAAAGAAAGCAACGAGAGAAAACGATATTTGATCTATTATTTTTGATTTGACTATTGGGTTACTTGGTTGCAGTTATCTTTCCAATTAGCCTGGGACTTGAAGGTAATGAAGAGAAAAGGAAATATTGTACTCTATAGTTCACCGACCAAAAATACTAAACTTTTTGTTCTACGAATGTGGTTGGGATGGCGAACATTTTTATTCTTGTGTTTTCTCTTTAGATTTATATTAAATGGCCAACTAAATAATGTTGAGAATCACATTTAATCAATTATGTTTATTTTTTATGCTATTTCTTACATTCCGTTCATCTGTGTTCTGTGGTGATGAATTTGAAGATTATCGTTGTAAATGTGTGTGTCCATTATTTACAGTAGTGCCAGGGTTTGACATGAACGAAACAAATCGTCGTGTTTATGTTGATGTTGTTTCTCCTGAAAATTGTACATGTAATCAGGTTGTGTTTCGCACGATACCAGCACCGAGTGATTTTGTGGACAGATTTTGTCCACGATGTGTGTGTAATTATGAGATTAGAAATACAACAACCATGAAAGGTATGTTGATCGTAGTATGGTTTAGAAATGACTCATAGCATAAATATTTTGTTTTAGTTGTTGTTATCATCATTATGGTTGCCATCTCATTATTATTCATCTACATGTCATTTTTATTATGTCTTGATCTACTGAAGAATCAGTCTCGGCAACCGAAACATTATGAATGGCAAGTCAATGGAGGAGTTAAAAACAGTAATAAACATACTGATTCATGGCTTACCCAAAAAAAACTCGCTTCCTTTCGTCTATCAATTACACGCGTTGAGAGAGGCGACATTTTCGCGTTAAGTTACAAATCTGCGTTAAGTTGAGCGATTGTTGTTAACATACGT